GCACAATCAACTGATCATCCACTTTCATTCACACAACGCTTTAAAGCACAAATTTTCTTCAACATGTATACATTCTGTCTAAATAAACCATTGTTTAGCATCTGTGTCTCCGACAAGTGTGATAAAAAACCTGCAGTTATCCAGATCGAGGGTTAGTGTATTGCATGTTTTCTGAGCGCTTCCGATCGGGCTGTACTACCTGCCAACAAAAGGTGATGCGCTGGAGACTGGAAGGGTCCCTCTATTTCACAGCGCTCTGGCTGCAGTGCAATGTGGACGAGGGGCACGAAATTGCAGGCTAAGAGGGTTAGAGAGGCTGGGAACAAAGTCACCTTACAGAAATGGTATAGGGTTTCCTGCCTGAGCAGGGGGTTGGACTAAATGATCTCCAAGGTCCCTTCCAACTTTTATTATTATTGTTGTTGTTATGTAAGTTGGTGAGAAATAGATAAAACGTGTATCCTGAATATTAGACTTTGTGATGAATTGTGATAAAGGGAACTTTGGTTACTTAAAACTTGGAAACTATAAATATTAAATGTTAAATTTAAATATTAATATTAATGGGAAACTAAAAATTGGGAAAAACGAATTAGGACATTGATTGTCCATAAAGACTGAATGTTAAAATAACCAGGATCTGTATAAGCTAAAAATTATTGATAAATATAAGAATGTTATTTTTATTTAATTAATATAATAAGAATTGTATTAGTTTAAATATGAGACAGTAAATACTAAGGGGAAAAGAGAGGAAATATTTAATGTGGTAGTTTGAGACTTGTACTAAAGATACTTGTATGTCATTGAATTATTGATTAACTCAGCCGCCATGTTGCTTTTTAAATACTTAAATGTAAAATTAGAAAATCAATAAAAGATAAAAAAGAAACCTAACAGTTTACTAAATAATTATTTTTGTTACTTATCCTTTGTCAGAGGACAATCTTACACACACACACGAATTATCCTTCAGTTTCAATTTGAGACAAGGAAAGAAAAGTCTTTTTCAAGACTTTTTTTTTCTGTAGCAGAAGATTCTTGCCTTCGCTTTCTCCGTTCTGAGATTTAGAAACTCAAACTGCACCCATCATTCCAACTACGGAGGAGAGCCCTGAATTTTGGACTCCCATATAATTTTTGATCATAAGACAAACATTACAAAATCTATAAATCAGCCAGCAAATCTTACACACAGGTCAGTTTTTCAGATAACAAAAAAATTATCTCAAACCTTACCCAAGGTCTGCACCAAAGGCTTCTCATCTGTTTCCTAAATCCTCCCAATAAATCCAGTAGCACCCTCAGCCAGTATGGCAACAGACAGGTAAGCCAGCCAATCAACATCTGCTACGACAAAGGCAGGGCTTCCCCATGAGAAGGACTACCCTGTCATTGCAGCAAGGAATTAACCTTTAACTTGTGTTTGTCAAGGGGAGGCAAGATCACAACTGGGAACAATAGGATCAGAACATTCAACATGGACAATGTCCAAGAATGGAAAGTTGGAACACTGAACGGTTCTCGAACTCTCTTCTCCTGTAAAAGAAAGCTAAATGCAGACAAGCCTTTTTCGTGGGGCAGATAGTCCTGGACTCGCAACCTTCATTTAGTCATTGTTCAAAAGGACAACAGCATTAAAAAAAAAAGTGACTTAGAATTGGTCATGCTTAAAACTTGTCACAACATCCCCTCAGTCCCATGATCAAAATTAGGCCGCTTGGCAACCGGCATGTATTTATAATGGTTCTAGCATCCTAGGATCATGAGGTCACCATTTGTGACCTTTATGGACAGCTTCCAACCAGCAAAGTCAATGGGAGAAATTGGATTCACTTAACGACCGTCTGATTCACTTAACTGCAGTGATTTGCTTAGCAGCCGAGGCAAAAGAAAGTTGTAAAATTGGGCATGATTTACTTCACCACCACCTGGCTTAGCAAAGGAAAATCTGTCCCAGCTCTTATCATAGGTTGAGGATTACCTGTACTATGGAATTCAGTTCTCTCCATTTGCAGGCCCAGCAGAAGAAGGTGGTAGAAGGTAGAAGACCACTCCAGGTGTGAAGAAAGGCGTCCTTTTTTAAAATGGCTGCTCTTGTTTTTTTTTTTTTAAAGTGCACATACTTTGAAATGAAATGAAATAATAGAAATGTGCCCAGCACGGGATAAGCAGTACTTTTAAAGTGGTGGGGTATAGACAGTGGTGGGATTCAGCCAGTTCGCACTACTTCAGCAGAACCGGTAGCTAACGTTTTGCTGCCCAGGCCCAGAATGGACTTCCGGAAGCGGCATCCACACAGAGAACCAGCTGTTCACATATTTGAATCCCACCACTGGGTACAGATCATTCAATGCTATACGGAGCAGTGCCATTTCTTCTAACTCATGGAGTATCCATAAAGCAGGACTAGCCTGCAGAACATCCTAGCAGAGACAGGTTTCTTGGCTGCATGATTTCAGATGACATAGGAGAGTTCGATCTTAACAGGCCAGATGAATTCAGATCATGAGAAGATATGCAGCAGAAGGCTGCACATGGAGTTTTCTCTGGTTTAAAAAAATAATGCTTGGATTTATAAAAGTTTGGAGAGCCATGTTCTGGAGGTCTGGTAGAGTCACTAGCTGAATCAGTTCGGGTAGGACAGGTGAGACACACTTATGGCACCTAACTCATTATTGGGCAACAATATAAGTTCCTATCACCCTTTCTCTAACATGCTAGTTTATTATGTACGTTGCCATTTTCAAAAGTGCTTGTGTGAAAAAGAGACTCACACACCAACTACAAATATTAGTTTCCCCCCTTATCCAGGTTGTATTGTGATTTGAATTTTGATCACCTTGCTACTCTTCCTTGCCTCTGTAAGAGCACAGCGGAATACATTTGCAACCGGACACAAAAAATAAGGTCAAAGAGAATATTTTAGCAGACAATGCTTGTTTTTTGTCTGATACTGGTGCACGTTGAGCCTCTCTCTTCCATCCAGCTGTTTAAAACCCTGGATTCTGATTCCTTTTAGCATTTGTTTATCTGCTAATCCTTCTTCGGTTTTGGAGGAATCAAGACCTTGCTGGAATACAGTCTAGCTCCATTCCAAGTCTTTTTGTGGACTACACTGTCAAAATACCAGGATATGTCTTCTCTCCCTTGCCTGGGTGAAGTAGAAGATGCTATGGACCATAGGTAGACTATTAAATGACTGACTTTTCTTTTTTTTAAATATCTTCGATTTGTTTATAAAATAAATATTCAGTGGAAACACGTGGACAATTTTCTGATGTTTTACATGTTTTACTCTTTATAAATTTGTGTGATGCTTTCCTTTTGAGGAAAAGGCTGGTATGAAGTGTTCTATGAAAATTCTATATAGTATTTTCCAATTATTTTAAATCTAATAATCCAATTTCTCCTTGTCTCAATATCTCCCTTTAGCCCACTAGTTGACAGTTTAGGATGCTTTCTAGTAAGGCAAAAAGCCCCAGTTTTTCAACCAAATTCTAGCTTTCTTCTTTTGCCAACCAGGCTTCCATATCGGTCCTTTTAAATCATTGAATAAATCTCCATTCTTGTGTATGTTACTTGAATTAAAGGAGACCATCTAATTGCCAATTTTCTAAAAGATATAACCCATTTATAATCATTAAGTTGTCGCCCTAGTAACCCAGATTCCTGTATTTGCTCTGGTATAGTTGTCTTCAATTCAATCTGGTCATCTTCTTTCTTAGGTTTCTTCTGATTTGTATAGAAAATCATTTCCAGTTTTATAGTAGGTTCTTTCATTGCAATCAGGGTTTCGCTTTGTAAATTTAAGCTGGCACCTTGGTCTTTCAGTCTAGTTTTGATTATCTCAGTGGCTTCAAGAATTTTTTCAAGTATAAGTTTAAACATAGCCAAAGTTTTTTGCTGCTCCTCCTCCATTTCTGACATGCTTATAGATGGTCTTTTAATGAAAGCTATTTATTAAACAAGAGTCAGTAAGTATTCACCTCCACAATTCCTAGAAACCAATTTCACTGCCCAGCTGCTCTCTCAGCTTTTGATCTCTCTTAGATAACACCAAGGTCAGGTCCGGGCTATGAGCAAGTCTCTTTGTCAAAAGTAATATATTGCTGCACCAAGCTTTGCCATAAGATATCCCTGATAGCATTTAAAGTCTTTTTCAGATCCCAGGCTAGGTTTTTATCCAATTTAAGTTCTTTTTCTTCTTTTTTATAAGTAAATAAAATAGCAGGTCCCCTTAAGAGTAGGAACTTTTTGGGTCCCCAAATTCCAAAAGGATGTAAATCCAATTATATTAAGTTATTCTTTTCAATGCTTTGTTTCCCCAGGTAGTCAATGCCACCAGGGGAAGAGTTTTGAGGAAGCTTTTAACAGAAAAAGTACTTGGGGTAGAGAGAAGGTAAAATCTCACCCTTTTTCTCCATGTTGCTTTCAAGGTGTTTGTTAGTGAATTTGGCTTCGGCTGTCAGCAGCTTAATGATGGGCCATGTTGATAGCCAATCTTTTCCCCATCAGTTTGAAGAGCTGCCCCGGATCAAACGGGAAGGCTGCCACCCTTCCGCAATCACTCAGGGGTCCTCTTCACGCTCGTCGCCCCTACAGGGTGACTTCCGACCCTCTTCAGAGTCCCCGGTGGAGAAAAAACAGACGGTGAAGAGCGCGATCACTCTGCAAGTCTGCCAGCACTGTTGCAAACCTGAAGCCAAAGTATTTATAATTCTTGAGAGACAGCTGTCAGATACTATTTCCCAGTTTAAGCCATTCACTGACTAATTCAACATGGGAACAAAAGGAATCTTCAAGGCAAGTAGCTGAATCACTTTATATGGACAGAAGCAAGCTGTGAGCCCCTCTAACGCTACCTTCTACCTGATCTGAGAATAAGATTGAATATTTCCTGCAGAATCTCTATACTTCAATTTTATGAATGCTAGGTGTGGGGCCCTCCTTGCAGTCTTAACTGATCATAGCTGCAGGTATAAAGAGAAACAAAGCTATATGGTCTACAGCAGGGCTCAGTTTAATACTGACTAGTATTAGTTGAGTCACTTGATCCTAATGACATTTATTTAGAAATACAATTTCCTGATTTAAAAAAAAAACCTTCATTAAGATAAAACTGCAGTCTTAATTTTAAGCTCATAATTTAAGAGCTATGAATATTTAAAGAAGAGAATAACCACCATCAATTCAATCAATTAACTGAAAATGGAGAGAAACCACAGAAAATATCTAAACAGGTGCAGAGGAACAGGAGGAATACAAGATCAACCTCTGAAGGGCTGGAAGTACCATCCAATACGACCTCCTGTGCAAAACATCAATGTTTCTTGATCTTGTTGGCATCTATTACTCTCTGGCAACCACTGAGGTGCTTCCAGGCATCCCAGATGAGAATAGAGGGAATGATAATCCACAGACCATTCAGAAAGACAAAGTAAAACCAGAAGTAGGTAGGGTGCCACTTCTCACTATGGCGAAAGCCATCACGGTATGCAGTGTAGAAGTAGAGAACATCACCATATAGTTGACCTATGGTTAGAGATAGACAACATGGCTGATTAAAGTAGGAAGAAAAGATCAAAAGTGGACAAGCCAAAAAAGAAATGCAGTCAGGTGTATGGAACATTAACCAAGAATAAAAATATTTAATTGCTTTTGAAAGATTGCATTAACATTTATATATCCTGACATACCTCCCTCCTTGTCTTGCATACCTACCTATTGACACCACTAGCTGCAGCACGTATCGATGGGACTGGCGTGAAAGAAATGCGACTGCAGTCCAAAGACTGAGGGGAGTCAAAACACAGAAAGTGACTGTTTCCACGCAAATTATAAAATTATCTGATCTGCAAATACATAAATGAAATGAATTTCACCTTGAGGTCCCAAAACATCCCAGGTTTCTTACAGTTCACTACATTCAATCTGGAGAGGGAGAAAGGGGATGATAGATTAGATAAACAGATATAGATAGATGGATGGATGGATGGATGGATGGATGGATGGATGGATGGATGGATGGATGCATGCATGCATGCATGCATGCATGCATGCATGAAAATTCACAAAGATAATAAAACCATCTCAGGCCAAACAGCAGAATTTGATGCAAGTGAGGAGAGTGAAAATAATTTAGAAATATAAAAGATTAGGATCCTTAAAAAGAAATGCAGGTATTCTTTTAATTTTGTTGTACTCGCCCTATTAAAAAGTTGTCTTGGCAACAGAAAATATATTAAGAGAACTCATGCAAAAATTGTGAACATCTCAGCTATATTTATGTTTGCATTATGTCAAATCATCCTTTCCCTATCCCCATACTCAGACCAGGTACTTGTGTTCAAAATTGCTTAATGCTGGATCTTTGCAGAAATATCCAGACCTTTGCCTATCATTTCAAAGTTAATACTTACATCATATATCTGCTGTCAGCTTTGCCATATTCCTTCCCTGGAAGATATAAAGAGAAATTAGTAGAAGAAGAAATTCATGGGAACTGAAGTAGAGAGAGTTTGTGAATTTCCCTATATTTTTCTTAAATATTAATTATAAAAGGGTTGTGCACCACTTTAGATAAAAGGCAAATAGATGCTTGGAACATCTAGAGGTGCAGAAGTGACACCTGTCTCCAACTCCTTAAACCAAACACATCTGTTCTGAAATTTCCAAGTACTTCCTATTCTAGAAGGCAACATATAATGAATGTGAGATTATGAAGACCACATGAATGCTATCACACCAATAAAACTTTCTAAATACACGAGGACTTACTTTAGCCTAAAATCATGCTTTTTGGTAACAAATGCAAATATTAAGAAACATACATTTTCACTTCTCGCAGTTTTGATAATACTAGAAGGAATCAAATATTCTTAAATTCAGATGTAGTTGTCGAATTTGAAGGTTTTAGTGTGTTGTATGTGTACCCCTTTCATTATGGCTTATTCAGCAAACCATGGCAAAGCCAGATGTGCAAAGTGAATTATTGTGACTAATATAAAACGTAATATTTCTAATCTGATTTCTGCTTCCCTTCTTGTTACAATTTCAAAGCATAGCATTATAGCTATATGTTTTTTACCTAGAATTTTATAAGGATTAAGTGAGTTGATACTGCAGATTCTGTACTGCTGGCTCCAATTCCCAGGAACCGTTATGGATAATGTTCTTTCAGCTGACATACTATTTTCACTTCTGCAAAAAATGCAGCTTTCTAGGTATATATATTAATATAAATATATAAACCAACTTGTCCACTTTGAAAACTTTCAGGTATGCTGGATTTCATTTCTCATTTTCTCTCACATATGTGGAAAGCATTAGGTTGAAGATGCTCCATGGATTAATCTCAACAAATACTAACCTGTCTTCAATCAAACTTGTTTTATCTACAACAGATACTGTTACATCTTGTTGTTGATATACATGCTATATCTAATTGGACCATATTCTATGTGAAGGCTAATTCAGGAGTTTGGGGAAGAAAAAGGAAATAATTAGGGAACAGATGGTTAAAGTGCTGGTCTAGAAAGCAGGAGACTGTGAGTGATTTTAGGCCTGTTAGTCTGTCAGGCTGAACCACTTCACACATACTTCTTTTGTGGAGTATTAGATATGGAGGATGGAGTATTAGATATGTTCACTGCCTTGAGTTGACACATACAGTGAGGTGAATTTTAAAAAATGTAATAATACAGATACAAAATGAGCTGAGCCATATGGCAAACATCTTCCAACCACTGAGGGAAATACAGTGGGTTACATCTGCAAAATATTAGTATCCTCTTACATAGTTCAATTCAAGATGAGTTTTTTTCCCCAGTGCTCTCTTTAATGCTCTCCATCCAGCCAACCTGGAGGGTAGACTCTAAAACTTTTCAATAAAACAGAGGTGATTCAAAAGCACAGGAGGGCACACATATGTCACTTGTGCAGTGCTTTATATCAAATGCATTTTCTCAGCATCATGGTGCAGCTGCAGAGAGCAGCCAGGCGACCACAGGGAAAAATGCATTGCTTTAAAGTAGTCCCTTTTCACATTCCATTGTACCCCACAGCCCTAGCATGAAACCTTTAACACAGGTTCCCTAAGGATAATTATATGTGGAAATCTATTTGTGGCCTTATTTCAGTTTTCACATCATATCAAGTTCCTATATGTGGGACTTTTCTTATGAACTATTTTATTTATTTATTTATGAGACTTATATACCGCTATAAGTGCAAGCACTCTCTAAGCGGTGTATACCAGTAAGCAATGTATATATATATTTACATTGCCCCCAACAATCTGGGTTCTCATTTTACCTACCCCGAAAGGATGGAAGGCTGAGTCAACCTTGAGTCGGTGAGATTTCAACTGCTGACCTGCTGAACACAGTGAGGTAAAGTGGCCTGCAGTACTGCACTCTAACTGCTGCGCCACCTCGGCTCATATTAAGTATCAATAGTTCTACATGCACAAAAAAATAGACAGAGCTCTATATGGAGAGCATAGCAGAAGCATTAAACTATTCTAGTGTTATAACAGCTGAATCCAGTTTTATCTGCACATTTTATATTTTCCTCTCACTCTTATTGCACAGTTGTAATAGGTGCCTTTCAAAGGTACAGACAAAAAGCTGCCTGCAGATACAAAAAACAATCAATCTGGAGAATTTGGAAATCTATTTCTGGAGTGATTGCAGGATAGTGCTATCTCAAAAATAACCACATACATACAAGTAATCCTCATTTAATGTCCACTTGTTCACTGGCTGTTTGAAGTTACAACAGTGCTGAAGAACTCACAACTGTCCTTGTAGTTCTGGCCATCATAGCAGCCCTATGATCAGGTTAATGTGGGTCAGGTACTTGCAACTGGCTTGCAATTGTATCACAACATCCTGCTATTATGAGACTACCATTTGCAACCTTCATTGCTGGCTTCCAACAAATGTTAACAGGGAAGCCACCAGGAGGTTGCAAATGGTGATCATGTGATTGAGGGATGCTACAACCATTCAGGAGTCATCTAAAGAGGGCAACTGGGACTGCAGGAACTGTTCTTATAAGTCAAGGGGTCTTCAGACTTGGCCCTTTTATGACTTGTTGACTTCAACTCCCAGAATTCCTCAGCCAGTGTGCCTGTCTAAGGAATTCTGGGAGTTGAAGTCCATAAGTCATAAAAGGTCCAAGTTTGAAGACCCCTGTTATACGTTGTTGTGGTCATGTGACAATGACTTATGGCCACATCAGTTACACTGAATTTGCTGGTCCAAGTTACTATTGGCAAGCAAAGACTGTCTACACAAGGGTCACTATCACATATTTGTGTTCTGAAGTCTGATTCAAGTACACAATAGAAGGATTTACCGATGTGTCATTTGCTCCATTTATGCATCATGCGGATCCTCCTGCCCACCCTCCACTTTCTGCCCATGTTAACCTGCTGCATCAATTTTTCCCCAAAATCAAGAGACAGAAACCAGATAGACACACATCTTACAGAGCTGCGAGAGAAAGGATTGATCCCCTGGGATTTCCATATAGTAAAGGGCAAACCAGCCCTCGATGACAGTATGAATAAAAACACAGATGGTAAACCAGCAAATGATCAAGGTGCGCCAAGTTCCAAAAGGGCCCCATGTCTTGCTTCGCCAACTTGCTACGAACCAAGTCAATAGCAAGAGAATTCCTGAAGTAGAGAATACGAATGTCAAGAATTGCCATGAGGGTCGGTCATTTGGGATGTAATTTTGGAGTTCCAAATTCCGAGGCCAGTATGGGTGGTGGACAACATCAGGTTTTGCTTCCAGAACCATACTGGGTTGAGAAAGTGTGAGTTGAGCCAGTAAAAAAGGCAAGGGCTTTTTCTGGTAGAAAATGACCCACCTGCATTAAATACAGAGAATTAGTTAAGCACAACCTATGATCAGATTCTTTCAGTTTGATATTCTTTCGTCCGCCAGTTTGGAGGGGAACGCCGGTTCTAACGGGAGAGCTATCACTCTCTTGCAATCCAGCGAAAGCGCTTCCTTGCTGGTCACCTCTTCGGGGTGACTTTTTGACCCTTTTAGCCCCCCCCCAGCGATATGAAACTGAACTAGAAAGATGGAGTTCATCTTCCAAGCGTCCATGGCGGCTGCATCGGCAAACCGGTAGCTCTTCTGCTCAATCCGGGGCAGCCCTCCAAACCAGTGGACGAAAGACTGGCCATAGAAATATGGCCTGTCACTAAGCTGCAGACAGCCAAAGTGAAACTTACCACCAGACACCTATAAAGCAGCACAGATGAGACTGGGTGAGGTCTGAACCTCTCTTCAATCCTCTTTTTTTTATATAGAGATTTTATTGATTCTCTTTTGCATACATATGTTAATTTTCCAATCAATGAGCTGTCTGGGGTTAGCTATGCTAATACATATTTGATTCCTAATCCTTCATTCTTTCCTCTAACCAACGATAAAATAAATCCCAAGTTTGGTAGTAGTCTGTGGCTTCTTTATCTTTCAATCTCATAGTTAATCTGTCCATCTCTGTGCATTCCAATATTTTTCTGATTATTTCTTCGTCTGATGGCCATCCTTCATTCTTCCAATATTGCGCACAGATTATTCTCACTGCTGTGGTAATGTGTAAAATTAAATATAAACTCTGCTTATTAATCTTTTCAGGTATTATACCTAGTAAAAAAAGTTCATGTTTAAAATCAATGTGTTCACCTAATATTTTTTCTAACCACGTATGTATCTTTTCCCAATAAGCCTTAGCTTTGCCACATGTCCACCAAATGTGATACTACGTGCCTGGGTTGTGCTTACATTTCTAGCATCTATCTGACATATTTTTAAACATTTTTGCTAAT